TTCGCGATCCTTTTATCGCGAATCATTTAGCAATTTTAGTAGCAATGCTCCGCGAATCGCGTTGACGAGATTTTGCCGATGATCCAGCGATTCTCGTTGCTTAATCCTTCACCGGCGATCTACAGGAATGTCGCGATAATCAGATAAAAATATATGAATTTTGACTCTGGGAGGATTCGAACCTGCGCCAGTCGCCCCGCCTCTTCTGAGGAAGGTGTGACGGGGGTTTAGTCCCACATCGGTTGTACGCTGATTTTTCGGGCGAATATATAGTAATGCTAGCCTTGTGAGCATAGTCCCTTCTCGCGCGTGTATGACCACTCCTTGCCCCACAGCTGGCTGGCCAATGGTGACGTGGAAAGGGAGAGGCATACGCGTGCCCTGTCGGTCCCCAAGCCAAGCCACTCGAGCCCCTGCTCGTGACTTACTCCCCGACTGCACTTCCGACCCGCTTGTGGGCTTGGCTGGCCGGCAGGTCCCCCCATTTTTGCAATATTTTTATTTTTATTTCTTGTTCTTCATATATCTCAAAAGTAAGACTGTAAAAATCGTATAAAATCACATAATTACCCAAAAAGTCACGTTAATCAATTGAAAATCAAAAATCATTCTTTAACACAAATATAAGTCTATTTATCATGAGTTAAGGCTAAAATTATATTATTTACTAATTATTAACTCATGATAATGAAGACTTATTAGTACCTAAGAATCATATCTCTACCAGAAAAGAAGTTTAGGTGATCATCAAAATTAGAGGAATTAGAGTTGGTTCATATTGATGAGTGGTCCTTTGGTTGCTATGCCACTATGATGCTAAATGTACTATGGGGTATTTATAATTGACTCAAGTAGAGCTTTGTGAGTTTATTTCTTACAAAATATGTAATAGTTTTGTTTCCAAAAAATAGGAAGTTATGGCTGATAATGAGATAAATTTTGTGATAGTAAAATGTTTGAAAAGGCCAGTAATTGAATACAATGATTGGAAAGTAAGAAATCATATCTTTTAGTGAAATAAAAATGAAAAAGATCTTCCATGAGACAAATTTTAAATGATATTGATAAGAAAATAATCGAAAGTTAAATCAATGGGGTAGTGAGTATGATATTACATGCAAGTTTCCAAGTTTATTTTGGGTAGAGATAGTGAGTAGGTTGCATAGATAAAAAAAAAGGTTCTTGTGTACCATTAAATTGAAAAACAAAATGGATTTTTTTTTGAAACTATTTGATTGAATCTCTTACACTCGTGTTGATTTAAGCTCAGGAAGCAAATTGAAAATAAATCAATTAGAAGTTCTCTATTGGCTATGATAATATGGTTGGTGATTGACTTAATATGATCAAAGTCAAAAGAATATCGAGTAAATATGTTATATTTATTTTCTGAAAAAAATTCAAATTTGAGATATAAGATAGAAGCATACATTTTTAATAAAAAGTAATTTTAATTCAACTTAAGGACATCTTAGTAAATAAATTATTAAATAATGACACAACATCAAGCATAATGTGTTAATATATAAAAAACGTTGCAAAATAGAGGAGTATACCAGTGTATAGCAAGCTAAATTGCAAAATTGAGGAGTATGCTAATTTAATATGTAAATATACTACCTAAACATTGATATCTTAATACATGAAGATGTTGTTGCAGAAAATTAATATAAAACTTGGAAGGATTATTTCGGTACATGATAATTATGTTTTAAAATAACATAGGAAATGATGTGGTGTGAAATATTTCACATAGAATTTACAATGATATAAGGCAACATGGAAAAATTTATATTTATATCTCTAAATAAATTAGCATACAATCACAAGAATTAGAATGTATGCATAGAATCTCAAGAGCACAAAGTAGTAACAACACAAAACTTACCCATTATTGTGTAATAGATAAATATCTAATCGATAAATATGGTAGAAACATAAAAAAATGATTTAAATATATTATTGTTGGAAGGAAAAAAAAAATAGTTGTGTTTATTGTGAATGAATCTATAAATGAAGCGAGGTTCATAAACATTAATAGAAATGTTCAAATAAAAAATAAAATAGCTGATATAGATGAATACATAAATAAAGTGAGGTTCTTAAAATTTAATAGAAATGTTAAAATATAGAATAGAATAACTAATATATATATATAGATATACCTAAATTAACATTTTAAATAAATATTTTTAATAGAATTTAACACCTCTACAATAACAAGAACACACTTCAAAGCCAAATCTCCATTAAAATCGTTTTTAGGTGTTGGAGTAGTGAGAACACTTTAGATTCCAAGACATTATATAAATCTAGGAAAGTTTTGAACTCTCTAAATAAACTTCTCAATTTGGTAGAAGGGGAGTGGTGCACACGTGCCTCTATCGGTCCAAGCCAAGCTGCTCGAGCCCCTACTTGCAGCTACTCCCCGACTACGCTTCCGACCCACTTATGGGCTCGACTGGCCAGCAGGCCCCTCATTTTGCAATATTTTTATTTTTATTTTTATTTTTTTATTTATCTCAAAAGTAAGACTGTAAAAATCATATAAAATCACATAATTACCCAAAAATTCACGTTAATCAACTAAAAATCACTTTGCACATTTAACACAAACATAAGTATATTTATCATGAGTTAAGGCTAAAAATATATTATTTAATAATTATTAACTCATGATAATGAAGACTTATCACACCTCCCAACTTAAATCATTGCTAGTCCCTTAGCAATGGAATTATGAAAACAAAATTTTACAAATCTCAAACATCATATTTCAATACAGAAAGAAAAAATATAATTAAAAATGATATACCTTTAAACACTTTAGATTCTTATATCAAGTATTTAAGAATGATGTCAAGCACTTAAATGTTTAAACATTCTTTGGAATAACAATTTATACTTCACTTCTTCTATTCACATCTTTATCACTTCTTCACTCATAGATGTATTTACAAGATGTTTCAATTATCAATACTCATACAAAAATAATATTGATATTACATTTCCCTTTTTCTATGACTTGATTTTTGAAGTTTGCACTATATTGCTTCCTTCTCTTCTTTTTTTTTATTTATATATATAGTGGATAAGTAACTTTTCCTATAGATAAATTTCAACAATAAGAATGATGTCTCACACCCTCTATGTGTACTCTTCATTTTCAAGGCTTTTACTTTATCCACTTATTTTGCAACAAGTGTTTTTCTATGCATGATTTTCGATAATGAGAATGATGTCTCACACCCTCCATGTGCACTCTTTATTTCTAGATTTTTCACATTGCTCTTTCTTTTTTTTTTTTTTCGAAATAAGTGATTTCTCCTCACAAGCTATAGATCAAGATGCAAAAATCTCTATTAAACTCAAATGATCAATCAAATTTTCACATCAAGTAAATACTATCCATCAAGATCATGAAGTGAAAATCTGTAAAATCAAATCCATGTTATCTATCATGTATCCAAGGAGTATTCCAACATTTCATGCTACTAGATCATTCTTTTGACTCAATAATAATCTTCCTAGTATCTTTTGATATCAATCAATCTAACTGATTTAATTTTTCGTACATGTAATATGATGTAAGGATTTGTACATTAGATAGTTCTAACAATTCTGTTTTCTATTTTCAGTTCTATTTTTAGCAGCAATAAATTTTTCAAAAATAAATCAAAATTATCCTTTTTATAGCTGTAATTTCGAATTTTAGTAATATATATTTAGGGGATTGAAATGTGAGAAAAGGGTCTTCTAAAATTTCAAATTTTGGGCTGTTTTTGTCTGCTGTTTTTTACAGTTTGTTGTTTCTGATAGAAAACCAGAAAATAGATGTTGCAATTTTTCTGAATTTTATTTTATTTTATTTTATTTTTTTAGTTACTGTTCTAAGTTGAATAAAATGCAAACACATGTTCTTAATCGTCCTACAACATAAATTAATAATAAATACTTCACTCCCCAACTTAAAAATGACATTGTCCTCAATGACATAGAAAAATCGAAATAGAATATGCAGAAAATATAATTTTCAAGTGAAGCATAGATATGTGCAAAGTTAAATATTAAAAATATTTTCGTAAATGATAAAGCTCAGAAAGACATCACTTCAACCTCGTTTTTAATTTTCCATTTCATCTTACACTCCTCCTGCACTTTTTCGAAAAAACAAATACAGGAACAAGTACTTCAAAATTCTAAGAAAAATAGAGCTTAAAAAAAAATCAAATAGAATGAAATAAAAACCATAGGTTGCCTCCCATACAGTGCTGAATTTAATGTCTTCAGCTGGACAGCTCTTAGATCATATAAGATGATCTATGGCCATCAAAATATATTTGTATCCCAAGGTATGCTTCATGATATTCTTTTTCAGATTTAGTATAAATTCATATACTTCATATATATACCTTGACATATTTTCAGCCAAAACAAAATGCATATAAGGCTCTCATAAATACTTCATAAATTAATAATAAAATTTTCCCAAAAATAATATTTCTATTTTGAAAAGAATCTTTCCTTATTTCTATCTTGTTTTGTAAGGCTCTCATTCATTAATAAATACTTTCTATTAATAGATCATAAAATGTGGTCAAGTCATATAATTTTCGAATTAGCTCTTACCCAATCTAAATTTTTTTCATTTAAATTGATATCTCTAATTCTTCTATTCATCTATTTCTTAATGTCTTCTTTTATTTGTATAGTCTTTCCCTGCTCCATTTTATCTTTCATACATACTTGTTCAATTTGCAAGGGGTGAAATATTTCAAGCTTAGAAATAATTCTAATGGGCTGTGGGTTTTGAAGGATGGAAGGATTGTCTTCTTTAATCATAGATCTAATGAATTCAGTAAAATTCAAATTTTCTCCTCCAAAATTATCTCTATATTCATATCCATTATTTTCATTTCTTCCTATTAGTTGAATCAACTCTTTTTCTAGCTTTTCGTTTCTCAACTTGTCAAATTCTTCATCTTCCCAAGAGCTATATTTTAATTTCGGTATATAATATACATCATCATCCTCACAATCAACATCCATGGGTGCAAAATTATGATTAGATCATTCATTTTGTCTCCTACGTCTCCCAAATCAATTGATTTTCCCTCACTTGAAATATGCTTTTCTTCATTTCTGTCCTTACTCCCTTCTACTAAAATTTGGATGATTTTTCTATGATCAGCTTCTGTTTCTCCATCTAAGGGCTCTTTCTCCTCATCATCCTCACTATATTCATTCATCAACTATGAGTAATAAATTATTTTATTCAAATTTTCTATTACTATATTTTCAGCCTTAATATTCTCATTTATTTCTAATGGCTCATCAATTTCTTCTAATAATTAGAAATAAGGATCAGGTAAAATATTCTCACTCAATGTATTCACTATCCTAACATTTTTATTTCGTGGGTTTTTTTCTAAATTTATCCAACTAGATTCTCCTTGTTGAAATCCTACTGTTGGATAGTTTCTTGAATTTTTTATGGACTGACTAGGTAGCTGTCCCTCTTCTCTCTTATTCCCAAGAGCCTCTATAATTTGTTTCTGGTGCAGCATCATTTGATTCATAATTTTTTGTATTATTTGGCTCATAGTTTGTTGCATCATTTGACTCATTTGCTGCATCATTTGTTTAGTATCATGTTGGGTTTGAGAGAGTTGATTTTTTTGAAATCTGTTTTCTTATTTTGGACGAAATTCAGAGTTTGAATTAGATCTAAGTGCTTCTAGATTTTAAATATTATTTGGGTTTCTCCACGAAAAATTATTCCCCCAATTAAGATTATAAGAATTAGAAAAATATTCTCTATTTTTACTAAAATCATGGGGTACTTACACTTGTTCTTGCCTAGGATGATACTAAAATTCGAAATGATCATTTTCACCATACATAGTATGTATACTATTTGAATTAAATTGAGGGTTAAGAGGGTTTTTAATATTGTCAATAAGTAAATCAAGTTTTTATAATCTTTGATTAATCTGATTAACCTCATTTTTAAATTTAGAATCATCATCATGATGCAATTCATAAATTACTCTCTTCTTATCTTTGTCATATAATTCAAAAGAGGCTTGATCTCTAAAATTTTCACTTAAATTTTCATAAAGACTGTAAATCTCATCAGGAGTTTTCTCCATAAAAGTTCCTCCACATATAGAATCAATCATATTTTTATGTTGTTCTAATAATCTATCATAAAAATTCTATTGAGCTACTACTTGGGTATTGCATAATGAGAACACTTTCTAAGTAAATCTTTAAATATTTTCCATGTCTCATGTAAAGTTTTTCTTGGTCTTTGAGAAAAATTTCATATATGTTTTCTCATATTTTGAGTGTTTCTTCATGGATAAAATTTTCGAAAAAAGATTTGTTCTATGTCTTTCCAACTAGTTAATTCTCTATCTAATGTAGATAGCCAATGACTAGCTTTGTCCTTAAGTGTATGAGGAAATAATTTTATCTTAATAATTTTTGGTGTAACTTGAGGGAGATTAACTAAATCACAGATCATATAAAAATTTTCTAAGTGCTGATGAGGTTCCTCTAAAGACAGTCCATGAAAATTAGGGAGCATTTGAAAATTTTCTCAATTTATTTCGAATTTAACACTGGGTGTTAATGGGACTATAATATTGGATGCTATTTGAAATGAATATGAGATATAATAATTTTTCATGGCCATAAGATTGTTCTCAGTTTGACCTGTACTTCCCTCAGGATCCATCAAAATTAATTTCTTTCAGATTTTTATTTTTGAATGAAATAATGAAAGGATTTTCTAGCCTTGGATGCAAGGATCTTCTATCATACATAAAAATCAATAAATTCAAAAGAAAAATTTAATAATTGTTACCCTCCTTCAGTATGCTCCATTCCTTGCCTTGCTTCTTTTCGTTCCCTTTTTCTAAAAAAAATTAGCAAAAAGAAAATAAAACAAGAGTTAAATTTTTTTGTGTACTTTAAGAGAAAAACAGAAAATACTAAATATTATGCAATACATTCTTGGCAATGGTACCAAAATTTGATGTCACTCAGTCATTGTATATTAAATCATGCAAATATAAAATTTATAAAACTAGAAAATATGAAAGTTTGAATATTTAGAAGTATTTATAAATAAACATATCAATTATAATTCCATAAAACTTTCAAAAATAGTGGTAATTTTCCAGGTCAATCACAGGGATGTAAAATAATATCTGGTAATTATTCAGAATTTTTCTCAATGAATACGATTTTCTATGAATTTTATACTAGAAAATAAAAAGAAAATATATTTAAAATTCACGAAAAAGGGAAATAAGGGTGCGAACGTCAAGATGACATCAGCACCCAGTGAACACAAATCAGTAAGAAACAGAATTCCGCCGATGATTCTTACGTAAACGATTACAGATGATTTAATTAATCAAATTAAGATCTATAAAAGCCGGAAGAATTGTAATTGAATAGAGTATATTTTAGTAAATTAAAATCACAAAAACTATCACTAAATGAAGCATAAAGTAAGTTGAAAGCAGGAAAACAGAGTTCTGGCGTCACGACGGTGATGCGTCGGTGATGCACCGGAATCTTAAGTGTTCAAGAGGATCATTGTGCAGTGTCTACAGCCTCGAAGGCTCTCCTTGGACAAAGACGACATGGGCAATCTCTAGATCTTCTCATGAAGTCTAGAGATTAATGAAATGGGTCGTCAAGTCGTCTTTGGTGGCTGTCACCTGACAGAGTGGAAAAACGGTGACTTTGTGGCTCTCTAGCAGTTGTCACCTGACGGAGAGGAGTTGGATGGAGGTGGGGTGCATGTTAGGGAGTTTCATCCTCAGGTCTTCACAGCAATAAGAGGCTCTTCATCACATCTGGTACGCTCTCGAGAGGTGGCGACTTGTCTCTCGGCAGATCGTCCTCTTCCTGACGACGGCTTGTTTGTCGATCAATCGGAGATGATTTACTCGATGGATTCGCGATCTTTTTATCGCAAATCGTTCAACAATTTTAGTAGCAATGCTCCACGAATCGCATTGACGAGATTTTCACTGATGATCTAGTGATTCTCATTGCTTAATCCTTCACCGGCGATCTGTAGGAAAGTCGTAATAATTAGATAAAAATATATGAATTTTGACTCTAGGAGGATTCGAACCCGTGTTGGTTGCTCGCCTCTTCTGAGGAAGGTGTGATGCTGGTTTAGTCCCACATTAGTTGTGCGCTGATTTTTCGGATGAATATATAATAATGTTAGCTTTCTAAGCAAAGTCCCTTCTCTCGCGTGTACGACCACTCCTTGCCCCATAGTCGGTTGGCCACTGGTGACATGAAAGGGGAGTGGCGCACACGTGCCTCTATTGGTCCAAGCCAAGCTGCTTGAGCCCCTACCCGTGGCTACTCCCCTACCTTTATTTTGCAATATTTTTATTTTTATTTTTTATTTTTCATTTATCTGAAAAGTAAATTGTAAAATCATATAAAATCACATAATTCTCTAAAAATTCACGTTAATCAACTGAAAACCACTTTGCACACTTTAACACAAACATAAGTCTATTTATCATGAGTTAAGGCTCAAACTATATTATTTAATAATTATTAACTCATGATAATGAAGACTTATAAGATCTCTCACCCACCCCTTGAATGACCAAGAGATGGGGGAGAGAGAGAGAATGAAGACAACAATTGAAATTCAACCATTGCCTAGAATATAGAAAATTTTGTCAAAAGATATTTTTTTCATAATTATTTTAAAAATATATTAAAAACTAAAATAAAACCCATAAAATTAAGAATTATAAACATTTTAAATCATAATTTAGACATTAAATATAATTTATTTTATAATTATTGAAGTGAAACATATAAATAAATATATATGTAATAATTCTTCATATTATGAGTTAATAATTAATTAATAATATGTTTTAAGTTTTAAATTATAAAAAATAGACTTATATTTATGTTAAATTGTGAAAAGTGATTTTTGATTGATTAATATGAAAATTTGACTGATTACATAATTTTATGTGTATTTATATAATTATAATCATATTTTTGAGATAAATAAAGAGAAAAAAATAAAAAATAAGGGACTTATTAGCCTACTAGGCCTGCAAATGAGTCAGAAGTACAATCTGGAAAGCCACAAGTAAGGAGCTCAAGTAGCTAAAGACCAATAAGTAGGGAGCACACGTGCATTACTCTCCTTCCATGTTATCAATGGCTAGCCACATGTGAGATAAAGAGTAGTCATACACATGTGAGGAGAGTATATTGATGACATAAATGTATATCACTATTGATGTGACTTAGTCATTGTATAGTAAATCATGTAAATTTAAAATTTATAAAACTAGAAAATACTAATTTTTAGGTATTTAAAAGTATTTCTAAAAAAATAAATCAATTATAATTTAATAAAACTTCTAACAATAGTGGTAATTTTCCAAGTCATTCACAGGGATATAATATAATATCAAATAATTATTCAGAATTTTTCTCAAAGAATATTATTTTATATGAATTTTATATTAAAAATTAAAAATAAAATATATTTAAAATTTATAAAAAAGAGAAATGAAGGTGCGGACATCAAGATGATGTCAGCACCCAACGAATACAAATTGGGTGAAAATAAAGTTCAATATGATGATTCTTATGTAAGCGATTACAGATGATTTAATTAATCAAATTAAAGTCTGTAAAAGTAGGAAGAATCGTAATTGAATGAAATATAGCTTGATAAATTTAAATCACACAAATTATCACTAAATGAAGCATAAATTAAGTTGAAAGTAGGAAAACAAAATTCTAGCGTCGTGGTGACAATGTGTCAATGATGCACTGAAATTTTGAGTGTTTAAAAGGATTGTCATGTAGTGTCCACAATCTTGAAAGCTCTTCTTAGAGAAGGATGATACAAGTAATGTCTAGATCTCTTTACAAAATCTAGAGATCAATAAAATGGGTCGTTGAATCATCTCCGACAATTGTCACCCAGTAGAGTGAAAAAATAACGATTTTGTGGCTGTCACCCGACGAAGAAAAGTTGGATGAAGTTGGGGCACATGTCAAGAAGCTTCATCCTCAGGTCTATGCAGCAAGAGAAGGCTCTTCATAACATTTAATATGCTCTTAGGAGGTGGCGACTCATCTCTTAGTGGATCATCCTCTTCCTGACGATGGCTTGTTTGTTGATCAATCGAAGATGATTTACTTGATGGATTCGTGATCCTTTTATCGTGAATCATTTAACAATTTTAGTAACAATACTCTATGAATCGCATTGATGAGATTTTTGCCGATGATCTAGTAATTTTGACAACTTAATCCTTCACTAGTGATCTGCAGAAAAGTCATGATAATTAGATGAAAATATGAGTTTTGACTCTAGAAGGATTTCAACCCACGTTAGTTACCCGCCTACATAAGAGAGATTGAAATAAGTACTCTAATGCTTTTATAAAGTGATGTCATCATGTTATATCTCTATTATAACAAAGGGGTAGTTTAGGTATTAAAATTTTCGAACACATTAAAATAAACTTTTATTTGTGTTTAATTTTTGAACCCATGTTAAAATTTTAATACCTAAACTACCCCTTTGTTATAATAGAGATATAACACGATGACGTCACTTTATAAAAGACTAAAAAGCCTTTAAGGCTGTGGACATTACATGATAATCATTTCGAACACATAAAATTTCGGCAATCACTATGACAAAGTCAAAACTTTATCTTTTTTACTTAAAACTTAATATTTAATTAATTTAATAATAATTTATATGATTAATCTTTTTCATTTAATTATGATTCTTTTAGATTTTTCAGATCTTAATTTGAGCAATTAAAATATCTATAATCACTTATATAAGAATCATTAAGGAGAACTTTATTTCTATCTAAATCACATTCATCAGGGCACTCTGTCATCCTCACGCTTGCATCCTTATTTCTCTTTTCAAAAATATTTAAATATATTTTTATTTATAATTTAGTCTAAAAAAATTTAAAAAGTATTATTTGAGGAAAAATCTAAAATATTACTAGATATCATCTTACATTAATGTAATCGACTTGAAAATTTCTCACTATTTTAATTTTTTTATTGAATTATAATTAATTTATTTATCATAAAATATTTCAAAAAATCTAAAAATTAGTATTTTTTAGTTTTATAAATTTTAAATTTGTGTGATTTATTATAAAACGATTAGATCATGTCAACATGCTGTAAAAAATATGAAAAAAATTATTTGTTTAAAACATTGATTACAAATTATGATGGACTTATTTTAGATATAATTAAATGTCATTTTGTATAAAATTAAGCTCTAATTATCTAAATTATGTCATGCTTGACATGTGGCATTCACATGTTATCACAAACTACAGGGAGAATTGGTCTAAGTCCAAGCCTAAGATCATGATGAAACGGCATAGGTCCAAGCGTAGGCCCAAGGTGAAGAGGCCCACATAAAGGTGGCATCCAAGCCCACCTCTTCTCTCTCCTCCCACTGGCCCATTAAGACACCCTTTGATTAAGTGCCTCTAACTGTCCCTCTAGTCCCCATAACTACCTCTAATTCACATTCAAAGCCACCCTTGGACAAGAGAGAAGTTAAAAGGTTGAGGGTTGATAAGGATACCTCTTCAAAGCATTCCTTGGGGAAACTAATACCCCATAAATAGTCAACAAAGAAACACTTTAAGCCTTGAATTCTATTTTTAATAATTTTCTAACCCATGTAATTGCCCCAAAAATTCCTATAAATAAGAAGCACAAGCTCTTGTGATGAATATTAGAATTTGACTTGACTTTGAAATGAATTTCTTAACTTTTCCTTCACTCTTTAAGGGAGAGGCTAAGAGCGTTAAAATCGTCCCTTAGGGGGAGCCCAAAAAGTCAAATTCCACTCTATCTTCTATTTCAATTCCTTCTTCCTCTTCCATGTAATCTTCTTCTTCTTTTCAATATCCTATTTATGCAGTTGTGAATTGGATAATATGAATTGAAGTGTGGAGGCATCAATTTTTATACTCAAGGTACACATTGGCTCTCTATTTTTAATTGTTTCTGATTCAATTTCGAAACTAGTTGAAATTACCTCTTAAGTGAACATATAATAGTCACTAAATTTCATAGTTGGTGTTCCTTAAAACCCTAATTGAAATTAGATTCAAATTTATTAGATCTAGACATCCCTATTTCAGTGGCTGATAAGATCTTTTTTCTTCAAGTTGTGATATTAATCTGATGTTAGAACAAATTTCCCTACTGACTTTCATTTTAAGAGTGAATTTCATCCTTGGTCCTGCAGCACAAGTGAGACAAACCTTATCATCCTCTCATGCATAGAGAGAGTTTTCAATAAAATATTACTAATACAAGAAAATAACAATGTGATATTATAAAATAGTTTATAATCTAGTTTTTACATAAGAAAAATTAGTATTATATTTTAACAACTTAACTTATATTTTAATACTTCATTAATGAAATTATCTCTAGTGATATTCATGCTAGAACAAGAATGACAAGATTTGCATTTGCATTTAGTGGTACTATTGTTGGTTAGGCTTTCAAGTTGTTGAAAATCATGTTGGAATTATATGGCTAGGTGAAACTGCACTGGGGAGAGGGCAGGGGTGAATTAAGTTTCTAAGATCTATGGGGATGTTTTTTATCTAACCTATGCCTATGTGTATGTCTCAATGCACATGTAGTTTTTTTATGTTTTTCATCTCTCTCACCAAGAACACAAATGATTTTCATACCAGCTTGCCTTCATTATTTTCAGTACCAGAGAGCTTTCATTTAATATTTTATTGATTCTCTTATGAATTACCTACTAACATTCATAGGCTTAGGCACCCAACCATCTTGAGTACATCTCCTTAGAAACTCATTCATTAATGGGTCAAATATGACTACTAATACCTCATGTTTTTGCCAAAAATACTCTCCCCTCACAATCTAGCTACCTTAGGGCTTGATGGAGACTCAAATTCATGAAGATGAAGTTGATTGCGTTGCCAAAATCAACTGAAAAAAAGATGCAACATTCTCGTACATCGTTGATGTGTACAATCAGAAGATCTTGATGTTCTTACATCAATCTTTGTGTGTTTGAATAGTTTCTGATCCAAAAACCTTATCTCATTAGTTAACCTTTGTACTTTAACAGTTTCTTGATTTTACTAGATCTCAAACATTTGAGAAGTTTGTTCAAAAAATTGTTGGGTTTCAAAATTGATAGTAACAATCCTTGAACCATTCAATCCTTGAATCTCCTCATTATTTTTTGTTCAAACTTAATGTGAAGTTTTCTAACTTGATGGACAAAAATTGGATGTCCAGTTCTGATCCAAATCATAAAGTTTACTTCAACCTTTGCCTATATAGGCAGTTGATGTGTCACTATTGAGATGCCTTGTTTGAAATTTGAATTTCTCTTTCATTGTTTTTTATTCTTAATGATTTAATTTGTAAAATCTTAGGGAACCTATCCATCTTTATCTAAAAAAACTAAATATTAGATAATATGGTTAAAGAAATATATAATCAAAGCTAAGATAATTTGAGGATTTGTCTATATCAATTTAACTATAAACTTATCTTTTCATATGAAGATGATTCTTTAGCTAATATTATTTATTAACTAATTTTTTTAATATGGAGAATCACTTAATCTCAAGGATTAGCACATCATATTATTTATTTAATGATAAGATCATAAAATTATTATACTTAATTCATATAATAACTATGTAGATTATATTGAATATTTAAGGCATTCGTGACATATATAAATAACTATCAATAACCAATAATTACTACATATCAATAAATTTAAACTTATAATTGTTGAAGAGAACGGTATCAACAAATCATTGAAATCTATGATGGATGTTGAATATGTTTGATTAAATTAACCAAAAAGGAAAATGATTTAGTAGTGAAATTTCTTAAGGAGTTAGGCCAAACATGTTGGAAGAGTACTTTGCATTGTGATAGTCAAAGTGGCATTAATCTTTTCTAAAATACTGTTCACCATGGTAGAACGAAATATACAAGTTTGAAATCACCATAGTTGTTCAAATCTAGAAGATGGAGATTGAGTTATAACCAAGGTAACACATTAAAAAAAATTCAAATTGCATAAAACTTCAGCATCCATAGTTAAGGCATTAAGTATTATTTTTCTTACTAAGGGTTCCCATGAAGGACATTACTGTGGCAGCCATCATTTATTGATAATTGATATAGTTATCTAGAGTTGATGATACATTTTACAGTAGTTGGTGGACATAGTAGTAATAACAAAGTGGAACCACTGTGAATCTTATGTGACACTTTCTCTCTTTTGGTGCTCAGATTTGTGTTGATTAAATCTTAACTTTGGTTAAGTTTTTACATTATTTGATCTAAGATAGGAAAATTTTAACATCATAGTGAATTTACTACCATTGCTGTCACTAATTGCAGCTGTTAACCCCAATAATCAACAATACATTTTATGGGGGCATCTAGATTTATTAGTCATTATGGGGAGTGTGATGGCATCTAGAGAGAGAGAGAGAGAGAGAGAGAGAGAGAGAGAGAGAGAGAGAGAGAGAGAGAGAGAGATCTTGTTAAACCATATGTACTTTTAGAGGGCTTAATCTATAAATATAATTATATCAAGATAAATCTAATGCTTTTGTGTTTATGTTGTCTTTTTTACTGTCAAATTGACATTTTAAAGTAGACAAACAATTTTATTGGTGGATGATGAATGGATGATTTTCTAAAACCAATTAGTCAAATAAATGGGACAAAATAGTAACACAAACTTCTCATCTTGCATGTCTACATAATTTCTTCGAAAGGGATTATAAAGAGGTTAATTGCAGAGATTATGAAGGATGTTATCTACATCATTCAATGACAAAGTCGAATAAAATTTATAAAAACAGATGAAAAATTGATTAATTTTGAACTATTATGAAAATCAAGATGAGTCATATAAAATGTAATATATATTTTTACAGATAGCTTTAGAGCGTGTCCACACATATGTACACAAGGGTTCATTTATGTCTTCAAGTTTGGTGTATGAGTTGATGGTGGTTTTCAATTGACTCCTACATGGCAATGATAAAACAATAACTATTTTCATCTAAAGCTGATGGTTGACAATAAATTTTTAATTAGCATCGTTATTTGTTCCTAGAAATTGCAATGATTGATCAATAAGATGAACAAAACGTTCACTAATTGAATAACAATTTTTCGTGCATTAAGCTTAGGAATACATTTATTTGCTAATATGATGGCCGGTCATAGTTCAGTAAAGATTGTAAGTGGGTTTGCTTGGACTATGCTATGTATGTAGTCAGGATGAGACCACCTATCCCGAGAAGGGGACCTTTGAATTTGATCCACTTATTTGATGTTCTTTTTAGTTTAAAACAAGATCAAGGTGACTCATTGGAGATATGCGAGGGAAACTAGTACAAATTGATGTTAAAAAATAAATTATATTAAACGGATTAATGAAGCAGGTTTTTTGTGTCATTTCAATGGGACTGACAGCGACTTGTAAGGAAAAATCTGAGCGTCGTCCGTTGGGTCGATGATCAGATGCCCCGTCCATGTCAAGTAACTTATTGGAAATACAGTAGTTAATGGGTTTTCTTCAAGAAAGCATCTCCCCCTAGACTGCGAGGGCAACAAGTAGCGATATCGCTGCCAGACCATTATAGAGATGCAAACGTAGAGATGAGCCGTAGAACCCTGTCTTTAATGCCCTAAAAGAGGGCAGCACCCAATAGAACTACCCTGACATGGCTTCTGTCGTGAGCATTAGCATCCAGAAAATTGAGAGGAATACTAATCAATGGTAGTATGTAATTGTACTCTTCTCTTCCCATTGTTGTATAAGATAGAGCATTAAGATGCCTGCATACACGTGTTGGTCTATAAATACCATGTTTTTCTTTCTACTTTCATTGGAAGCTCCCCTCGAAACGGGGTTCATCTGTCCCTCCTAATCTTGAAAGTCTTGAAGAACTTGCGGACCACCCATGAGGTTCCTGTAGGGCGGGTTCTGGGTGTCCCCCTCCAAGATGGAGAATTGCACCGGCTGGCAACCCTCCATGGGCGTCTCCTTGGAGAAGAAGAGGCTGTTTTGGGATCCGGGGGAGAAGCAGAGGCTCACTCCTCCTCCATTGTGCTGCTGGAGGCCCAGAGTCAACGACACGCCGTTGCCGAAACCCTGCTGGCTGCCGCACTCGCTGTAGGATGAGAAGTCAACGTCCACCAGGCCGAAGTTGTGGTCGGGCCGGGCCAGATGCTGTAATGGGTTGTACTGGCGTGGCGGAGGGCCGTAGAGGGGGTTCTTCCCGGACATGGCAGGATCGCCACGATCGGAGTTGTGACTGCTGTTGACGACGGAGGAGAGGGAATCCTCGTCGCTGCCGCCAAGTTGCAACGGGCGAGAATTTTGCTCGTCTTGCAGCTGGAGGTGTTGGATCCCAAGAGCATTGGGGTTCTGAGATTGGCCCGTCTGGCTGGCTCCCTGTTGCACCATGTTCCCTCTTGAGGACTGGTTCTCCAGTTTCTCCTTCGTCTCCTCCAAGTACATCTCCTCCACCATGGGTTTCCACAGCCTTACTCGTGCGTTTATGAACCAGTTGCAGACCTGTGTGTACACCATCCGTGAGTTGAGGACGCATAATTCAGCTATTTTTGTTATCTGATGTATTTTAGAGACTGGAGTCGTACAAGGTAACTAAATCATGAAATCGAAGACGTGTCAATAATTTGAACGAAATGGTTTCGTGGGTCCTCTGCAATGAAACTAGGATTTATTTACGGTGTTGGGGCGTAGTTGTAAGATCATAATGGTGAGATAGGGACGTGCCTGGCTCCGGGAGAGTCCCGTCTGCCTGGCCAAGATGTGCTTATCGACGTCGCTTGGGTACCTGCCACCAGATAGTATGATTAATTTTGTTAGTTCAAGATCTCAAAATGTCATGCATTTTAATCCTTGAGAGCGATAACTCAAAATGGAATGAGCATTTCAAAACCCAGCAACGAAATGAAGATGCATTTTAACAATTATGAACATAGTAGATTAAAACATAAGATTACTAAGCTAAATGATGGGACTTCTGTAAAACTGGGCAAAAACCCAGATAAAGGCAGGGTGGATATCAGTGAGAAAAAGTTCTTCATTAAAACCCAGAAATAAATGAGTGTAAATCGATAAAAAATGGGAAACGGTGAGATGAATGCATCAGGTAACAATTGTATATGATGGTGTCTCGGTGAAGATTTCTAAAGCTGACGCATATGGGAATAGTGGAGCGGTGGGTGCTTGAATACGACTGATAAACAAACGCTCCACAATCAAATCACATCACTTCTTTCCCTTTCACCACCCCTTTCTTCTTCTCAGTTGTCTTTTCCTCGGCCATCTCTCATAATGGAAAGATGTTTCATTTCTTTCAGGGCCCATTCTACTAGGGATCAATTGTTCTCTCCTAAAAGATGCCTGATCCAACAATTGAGGTCTAGTTCAGGCAAACTACTGTGTTAAGGTTCTGATGAAAGTCCCATCTATTGGCTGTTTCTCTGAGTCAGCAGAGTGATTCAATACTGATGTGTGTCTGTGGGAGAGAGAGACAAAGAGATAAAAAAGAGAGGTGGATAGAGAGAGAGAGAGAGAGAGAGAGAGAGAGAGAGAGAGATAGAAAGGGGAGATACGATATATATAAGGAGAGAGAGCGCGCGCGCACGGGAGAGAGAGATAGATAGAAAGGAGAGATACGATATATATAGAGAGAGCGCGCTCGCGCGCGAGAGAGAGAGAGATCAAAAGTCAATATCTTGATGTTGAATAAGTCATTGAATTCGAGAGGGGGGGAAAAGGAGGGTTTTAGAAGTCTGGTTCTGAGGTTGTTTCTTTGATCGGAACAGTAGTGTCTGTGTTTGCGAGAGAGAAAGAGAGCGCGAGAGAGTGAGGGAGGGAGAGAGAGATAGAGAGAGCAATAGAGTGGAGAGAGAGAGAGAGAGAGAGAGAGAGAGAGAGCGCGAGCGTGTGTGTGTGAGAGAGAGAGAGAGAAGAGAGAGAGAGAATTACGGATGCAGGAAGTGTTCGAAGAGCCAAGCTCGGAGAACCGACACCGAGCGCTCGGGGAGGCCCCTCTGGGGACGCCAAGGATGGGGCTCCATCGCACCGGACTGCTGGAACGCCTTCTGCTGGCGGAGGTGATGATCGAGCAACCGTAGCCGTGGGGTCTCTCCTCTGCTGGCTCCCGGTGCAACGGCATCCTTATCTCCCGTTGCCTTCTTTATCTCCTTCATCTGCCCCGCTATCCCATCCCTTAGGCACCTGAAATGCCTAGACATGGCCTTCATCGCCAGCGTTGAGTAGACTTTGGCGGCGCCTTCTCCAGCCGCCACCTCGAAACCCGATACCACTGCCCTCATCTGTTCACAGTACCTCCTGTATCTCCTATCAAGCTGAAAGAGATCATAAGAAGAGAAAAATAGCAGCATAAATCGTAAAGTTTTGCGAGGACAAATAAACGTCTAGAATGCAGATAAACGAGTGCAGTGTGGGACTATTCCAATAGAATAATCTTAGATCAACGATAGGAGATTTTTACTCGTGGAAATCTAGGTTAACATGTGGACACGAAGTGTGGTGATTTTGCAGACAAACTTGGGTTTATCTGTGGAAGATTCTGAGGGTTAGACTTGTAGGCACAGTTACAGCGGTGGGCAGAAAAGGAAACTGAAGCACAGTTGCCTTCTGTGGCCTTCGATATTTAATCTTGAAACAGGCTGCTAGGGTTTTAGGTTTCCATGCCCGTCATGGCAATAGAGGTTTCCAAAAGTAAGTGGCAAGCCCCGAATTGTCGATCTGTCCCTGGCCGATCTCAGCACAGCATTAACGGCAGCTTCAAAAAATTTGAAGGCTGAATCAAGTAGAGATGAGTTCTCCCCGCTAATTGTGGACCAAATCATCAGTCCAAGTGATTAATTTTCTAAAGGAAGGGGAGGTTGGGAGGGAAGGGAGAGGAGAGCTGACCTCCTCCAGCATGGAAACCAGCTGAGTGTAGCGCCTCTTCAGCTCCGAAATGTCCAGTGAGGACAGAGTCTGGTTCCACAGGCTGGAGGAAGTCGATGAGGCACCCTCCTCGCGGAGGCCAGTGGCTGCCTTTCTCTTGGGTTCACCGGCATTTTTGCCCGCTCCGAGACTGCAGAGCTCATTCAGAAGCTCCTGGACGGGTTCCAAATACCTGGAGCTTCTCAGCTGGTGGTGCGGTGGCGGGAAGAAATTTCCCTCCTGTACGAGTGGCTGACTGTGAAAGGCCATCGCTGGCCTAACGTCGGCGGACTTATTGAAAAGGGATAAGGAAAGACCCGGTCTTGGCTGGGCGACTCCGGCGCCGGGGAAGAGGCACCGTAGAGAGGAGTCATCCACTAGCTTGCCCACCTGCCAAGCCTCGTCTGGGGCGACCATTAGAGCTTCGCCCGACGTTGGTGCAACAGTGAAGGGACCGTGCTGGTAGAATTCCCCGGGGGGGTGTGGGACGGCGGTTTTTGGAGAGTGTCTGCTGTCGATGAAGGGCCTCCATCCTCCTGTGGGTACCCCACCGAGGTCCCTCAGCGAGATGCCCGCTTGCTGTGGAGTGAAAAGATTGTAACTTGGTTCGAATCCGGGTTGCATCTTGGAGCTGCTGGTGGAGTAGAAACCACGTGGGTGCTCTGGTGCTTCCGCGGCTGCTCAGGAGAGATGACAAAATGAGGACTTGGATGAGGGAATTGTTAGAGATAGAGGGTCGCTGAACCAACGGAAAGTGAGTACTGTGCTAACACTCCTACAGTCACATATACACAGGCAGAAGCGGATCGCTAGATAGATCGGTCTGGAGGGGAGAGAGAGAGAGAGAGAGAGAGCTTGGACCAACATGTCCAAATACACATACAGACCTTAGGATAAGAGCGTGAGAGAGACGAGAATTATGCTAACAGATATACGACAGATCGAGAGAAAAGGATAGGATCCGTAACTCAATTCCGACAACTTTTGGACTCGAGGCGCTAGAAGTAGAAATAAAGTGCCGTTAGAGGGAGGTGAGGATTGGGGTTTTGGGGGCGGCAAAGTCTCTTGTGCATGTTCCCCCTGCTCGCATCATAGAACTAGGGATAAGAAAAAGGAAAAACTTTCAATTTTTTTTTAATTTTTCTACCGTGGATCCCCTTAGTGTCGTGACGGAGGCAAGAGCAAGAAGAGAGATAAAAGAGACAGGCGAGGAACGGAGATAGGAAACAAGAGGGAGGGAGAGAGAATGAGAAAGAGAGAGAGAGAGAGAGAGAGAGAGAGAGAGAGAGAGAGAGAGAGAGAGAGAGAGAGAGGCTGACATCTTACCGGTTAAGGGAAGGGTTGGGGATTGTAAATGCCCTTTTTGATATGCGAGTCCCGGAAGCAGGCGACGCAGAAAAGGAAAGAGATGGGGTAGGTCTCTGCAATCTGCTGCAGCTGCTCACGCTTTTCTTGATGCTGCAGTTGCTCTTCCTGTTGACGCTGCCGTTCCTTCCTGATTCTTTGGGTCTGGATGGAGCTTTGTAACCGCTTCTCTACGAGGTGATCTGATGACAACGACGATGAATATAGGATTTTGGTTCTCTCATGTCTCTTTTTCTCTCTCTATCGATCTACTGGTTCTTCGTGGGGGAAAATAATTGTACAATTCTCTATTCGCTTGTAGGGAATATTAATACCCCGTGTCGGCGTTACTGGTGTACGAAGTACGAACCGGTAGTTTACTACTTTATCTCATTAGATCTCCTTCCGGAACTCACATCAATACCTATTCCCCAACCTCTCTCTCTCTCTCTCTCTCTAAACCTTACAGCTGACGATATCAGAGAGAATAAAAAACCCAGAAAATCATCGGATCGAAGAACGGCCTCTGAGGTGATGGTAGGTTCAGCCGCCGATGCTTGTTCTTTCCCCTGCGTGCATCTGGAAAGGCGAGAATTCCTTTAAAATCATATATCGTTCGCAGAAATAATAATTGGAAAGGGTGAGAGGTGGCTGAAGAGGCGTTGGAGGGACCCTAGATGGGAAGGAAGCGTGAGTCCCGGCATCCTCCGAACTCAAGTTTTATTACACAACTCCTTTTCAGACAGGATCCTGCTGTCTCTGCCCTGATCAGAACTCTTCAGAGAAAGGTTGGAGAGAGAGAGTTAGAGGGAGGGAGAGGGTGGGGACGGGGAGTGATGGGCTTACGGTTCCGAGGAGATCTGCGACCCGGCTGCGGCTACGCTAGTACATCTGCTTCTCGCAGTACTCATGCACTCAGAGACTATGTAGAAGAGAGATGGGAAGAGAGAGAGAGATACTAGGAAGATTAGTTCTCAGGGAAGCCTAGCTAGACCCTGCCGGAGCCGCGTTCAGCAGCTGCAGCAGACCAGGAAAGGGAAGGGGGTTGAGAGGAGGGAGATGAGGCCGGGGAAGAGAAAGGAAGCCACACAGTGGGAGTCCCATGGGAGAGAGAGAAAGATAGAGCTCTCCCCCTCTGTCTAGAGCGATGGAGAGAGAATTAGATGCGCCTGGAAAATATTCCGAAAATAGCGGCTGGAACCGACTGAGGGATCGGGTGGAGGCCTGGTCCCCTCAGGCCCCCTGACCAGTTCCCGTTTTATAAAGAAACAATACCGAGGAAGGAGCAGCAGAAGAACGACGGGGAAGGTGGGCCCGTCACCGCCAGCTGGGTCCCCCCATAATTCAGTCTTTTATTCATGCGGACATTTTTAGAATGATTTTCCTATTGTAGGAGACGCGTCACCTCTTCGTCGTTGACACCTAAGGCTTTGTTTATTTTCTTTATTATATCGTTTTTAGTACGAATGGATCCTTGACAGTGCCTAATTATGGATAATCCATTAGTTATAAACTATACCAATCGATCCATCAACTCCCAGCGCCCATTATCTGTCCAACAGCTGATCTTATTTTTCGTCCATTCAATATGGCTCTATAGTTGTATAATCTTTAAGTAATTTTAATTTCCCTTTCTTGAAACGATAGTCAAACTTCTAGTTAGCGCTGACTTCCGATACTTTTAGATATTTCACGGAAATTGTTTTATATCTTGTTTTAAAAGAGTCTTCGGAAAAAATAGGATCATTAAATAAAGGCCCGGATAGTTTTTTTCTTCGAAACACCTTATGTTTCCTTGAGGATATCAGGATTTAATATCTTTTGTCCAAGGTTAGAAATACCTAAAATTTTGATTATGTATGTATAACACGTTAGTTCTAATGTCTAGTTAATCCTAACAAGTTGATGATTAAAGCTCGAAGATTCTCGTTCGTGGGGTATTCACCGCGCATCAAGAACAGACCATTATCCTGATTCATGCCTGCAAGAGGTCCTCTGGGGGTGCTCTCCTCTATCTCTCAGCCTCTTCCTCAAGGTTCTGTGTACGTCACTGACTAGGCATATCCCCAGCTGGTCAAAGGTCCTTTGTAACAGGAAACAACTTTGGCCTTTTCATGTTTTTTGCCTACGGGGACGATCACATTCTTGGGTTGCAGGTTTGTCTAGTATTACCGAGTAGATGCGGTTTAGACCTTTGTTATTCCGTCTTTATAAAATATGCTACCAGCACATCCTTACTGATTTGCCTCTAGGAGAGACCCGTCGTTATGGGACGGAGATGGAGTGGGAATGCGATCATTAATAGAGAGAGACTCACGCTTTGGGAAGTTTAGTTTAGCGCGTATCAATTCAGACTAGTATATTGATATTTTCTTTGATCCAAAGGAAAAGTAAAATTACATGCTGCTTCTTCGGATTCCTCACCCAATCCTGATTAGTTTGCAATAAAGTCAATGGGACTGTAACGATTTCTGATTGGTTCAAACGGTGGGATACTCGACCAATCTCTCTCCCTCACAACAGCCATGATTCTCGGTGTATATTTTAACCCAATCGAGCTAACTTCATGATGCACACGTACAAGGAGGGAAGGAATATACACGTGCGGTCATCCACTTTGATAAAAAACATAGGCTGATGAGGGATAGTTCCTACTGATTGGTAGGGGCTTGATATAATTACAAATTATCTATCAGAAATAAAAGTTTTGAAAGAAGAGGGCTGCCCAGTACATGCTGCAATTTCCATATCAAGTACAAGAAAGAATCTTGTGGGATCATCGCCGCGAAGTATGAATACCTTCTCAGCTTTCAACGTCATCCCTTTACAAATGGTAAATCTTGAATGCCGTAAAACTATCTCCACGGGCGCCACAATTATTTGAGAAAAGAAAGGAGAAGATAAAGTCAAAAGGAGTGATGCTTCCTTCATAAGGTGGAGAGAGAGAAAAAAAACCTCTCTTTTCCCTCAACCGATACGGCCTTTTCCTACGTCCTCATGAGTGGTCCTGTGGGAAATTATCATGGCAGCATTAACTACGTCATATATCATCATTAGATTCTGCATCTACCGTACCCCTCGTGGCCTCATGTGGAGAGGAATCCGCGCAGAAGAAGTGGGGCGACCATTTCTCTCTAGCATTCAGAGGAGGTTAATTATAACCATGGAGAAAGAGGCAGCTGTTTATGGATCTTAATCATGTTCCCTTATTCCTAGGAAGTTTCCACAAGGGAAAGGCTATCCACACCAGTTGCACCCCTAGTTATTGCTCTTAATTGCTGCGTTTAGTTCTCCTCAAAGGGAAACCGTCCCATCGGAAGCTCCTTTATGTAGAGATCATAAGAAGATACGAATAAATTGTATTCCCATATACTTTATCGAACCCATGTTTATCAAGGTTCTCTGATAGAAAATTTACGAAGATGTTTTACTAATTTGCTAGCCCATTTCTTCTCCTCGCCCGTGTACGGCTTTGAGGGCTGGCACTTGAGTGCATGGGCAGGTGATGGCATATCCTCCACTTCTACGACATTAAATAAGATACCCAGTATGTCTCTCCTTGAATCGGTAGATGAAGATAAGAACGTAGGGTTTACGTGGTTGCCTTAACCGGTTTGTCGCCTGAGGTAACTCTTGTGTAGGAGATCTCTGTAGCCCCAGAAGAGGTCTTGAGAGAACCAGGTGACCTAGGGAAGCATCTACAAAGGAAACATGAGATAACCATAGACATCTTAGAAAATGAGAAAAAAAGCAACTGGATTATCTTGTTGAAGATACTTTATGGTGAGAATTTTACCGAATTGTCATAAACAGATGAGAAGGAGTTGGGACGGTTTCGTTCTTAGTTTCGTGGGGATTTTCCAAATCGAAGTTTATGTGGATGAGGTAAAAGGCTAGGGACGAATCCAGAATATGCATAACGGACTACCAAAGGATGATTTTGGGACTGTCTAAGCTCATCCATTCTAAGGAATGACTTGCTCGCTACACCCTAAATAGACACGTGGGATTCGCCACCTAACACCTCCAAGAGATGATCCTAGGCTCACTCGATCTACAATACCACTATATGGAGATGTCTACAAGAAATAGATGAAGGAGATGGCGTTTGCTTGAAGAAACATCCATTCACAGATCTTCCAACATGAAAGATGGAAAAAGTTGTGGAAAACCTAAACAACACAGAAGTCGAGAGGATGCGTCAGGACATAAAGATGAATATAGACGAGAGAGAGAGAGAGACAAAAGAACCAGAGAAGGCGAGGGGGCAGAAGAGGTTT